ACTCGCTAGAAGTCTTCCACATTAAGGTTATCGGCGGGTTTTAGTTGATTGCGTCTCACAGCGAGGCTGAAGGGCCAACTTTTTAGTCTTGGTCCCTTTCAAACGGTCCATCGACATAAGAAAAAAAGCTTGCCGGGGGGGAAAAAAAACAGATAGGCTGGGTTAAGATATAAGATGTATGATATTAAATATAAACACTGGGCATGTTTTAGCGGAACAGGAATTATCTCAAAAAGACGAAAAAGTGAAGAAATTACATTTCCCCCCCCCCAGAATGATGAAAGTGCGTTTATTCCATCCACTGCTTTGTGACACTATTAGACATCTTTTTCATTGCCTCGCAAATGTGGTCTCAGGTAGAATTCGTAAGAGGCAGCTGAGCCGAGAGGGCATCTGAGGTATGGTACAGAACTCATTCGAGCAACAAAGTGGGCAAAACCAAATGATGATAATAGACCACGGACACAGAAAGGATACTTGAAGAGGGCGCGCAACTATACAGTAAAACGAATGCAAAGTGGAGCATTGTATGGGGAAAATGAAATGGACCATTGTGTGAATTCAACGACAAAAAGCGTGCCCGTGTGCAAGCAGTATTAAGTCCTACGCGCCGTCGGTACAATTGCACAATCGCATGAGGACAAGAGCCGAATCAGAATTCTGCCTGCGCAAACAACTTTTCGGGAGAACTTTCAAAGCAGCTTCTCCTCTTCTCTTCTTCTGCCGTGATTGTGAAGGGCCGTGTGTAGTTACGCTGAATTGCGACATGTATAGGAGTCTCCGTCGCGAAGAGCGGCTGGAGCCTTCGGCAGCCGAATTGGATGGCAATAGTGTGACGGATGATCACACAAACACATCTGCGATTACGTTTGGCTGTTTGATGGGAATCTGTGATAGGGGAAATGTACATAATGCGCAGTACACGTAACGGCAGCAACAGTCTTACTGTAAAAACACGAGCTGTTTTCTGACTTAAAAAGATGTGTCACGGTCGTTCATGTGGTCCTGCAGAAAATCAATTGTTTATCTTCCCACCAGGGAGGGGAAGAGTAATTAATTATTCGATGATTAGGAATCGGGTCGATTGTGTGCAGCTGATTCTTTTGTTTAATTGTGTTTTGAAGCAATTCAGGCAAAGTGGAGTTCAATGAGTGGGGCTGAAACCAAAAGAGGTATTATGCATTCAGTCTCCAGAAGAAGAACGTGACATCAACTACGAGAAGTTGAGCCGTATCCACGTAGAATTTCCTCTATGGCTAAGCGGGAAGATTGATATTTTTTTTTTCTTTTCTTTGTACTCAATACAAATCCTTCATTGAAACCCATCAGTTTATTTATTCAATTGTCCCAGAGCGCATCAAGGTAATTAAATCATCCGTTCCCTCCGTCCCACAATTCAAAATATTGAGAATATTTGCCCTACTTCGGCATGGTATTACGTCAGTTTAATCCAGCAGCACTATTCGGAACCTTGCTAGGGGGGCATCGTGTTTCCACCAATGTGCCGTACTCCTCGATGCCACGAGGGACGCATGGATAAAATGATCGGATTTTGACCACCAAATGTCAAGGTGATTGTAAGATGTCATATTTTATTCCGCAGAACGTAATAGCTTGGATGGAATTTTATTGCATCTTGGCAGGCCGAAAAACTCACCGCTTACAATATGGTTTTCAAAAGTCAATGTCAGCCCAAAAGCTCCGGGCCAAAACTTGGGGACAACAACATGAATGAAAAACATGCTGAAAGACACTTCAAAAATTTCACATGGTCTGCTAAATTCAATTCTGACTTTACTGAACATGTCTTAAATAAATAGCTCCCTTTGTAAATCAAAACAGACGCCGATAGTGATTTTGTCTACAAGTGTCTCATCTGGTCTGAGTCTGGTTTTCTTGCCCCCCCCCCCCCCCCCCCCCCCCCCCTGGCCAATCAACTCCTCTCCTGCCCTCGTCTCTTCCCCAGCCGTCTCTCACCAAGACACCAATGTGTATTTTGTTGTTTTGATTTTGCATTTGTCTTCTTTATAAATTAAGACACGGTATAGATTTAAAAAAAAATATATAGTTAGAGACATATGATGTCTGGTATGTTTGTGATATAACAAATGGTTCTTATTCAAACACGTCATTCTGGTTTCCTTATGGAACATGATACTTGAACGTTGACGAGAGCACTTCTCTCAAAGAGACGCACGTCCTCTCTCGCTTCGAAGAAATTATTTGACTTTACGGTAAAGTAGGTGGTTCAATTTTTTTCCATCCCAAGAGTACCTCATTTGCATTGAAATGTTCTCCAGTACCCTGTGCCTACATTGGATGATATGATAGCAAGTCATTAGCATTACCAAATGGTCCGAGACTTGGGGGTAAAAATGCTCGTGGCGAATGAATTTACACCAAACTGATGCAAGGTCACTTCATTTGATGTGGGCCCAGCAGTCTGAAAAGGATTCCCAAACCAGCACACCCAACCCCTTCTCTTTCATCTCTCTCGCTGCTACGCTCTCTCTTGATATCTTCATCCCCCCCCCCCCGACCCTCCCACCCTCCTGCACTCCATTTCTAACTGTGTCACATAGCCTAAAGGATGTTGGAGAAATTTAGCGCATGAGTGAATTGCTAAATAATCACAGGAACTTTATAAGTTGCATTCAGACCACTGGTTTGGGGGACATGTGTGGCTCGCCAGACCTCAGTCTTAAGGGGGGCACGTGAAATGCACTGGGGGGGGGGGCAATTATTCTGATAGTATTGCCCTACAGACAGCGCTTTGCTCCATATTTTTGATGGTCCTATGCTGGTCTCTGCATGCAGTTAATAGTCTTGAAATTGCGACACCCGCAGCACAGTATGACCACAGACAACATTTACATGACATATTCAGCCCCGAATCATACAGCGACGCCGAAGCCGCTTCGGATGTGGCAAAGTGAAGCGATCTGTGAAGATGCCCCGTTCATTTACTCATTGGACACGTATCATTAAGCCAGAACTCATGGGATGAAGACGGAACCATTACTTTGGATTGTATTATGTCATCCTAACAGCATTTTCTGAGTATATTAGCCATATTTTATAGCTAATGTGATCTTAAGCGCTAACCCGATCCTTGTAGGCTATCCAATCACAATTCTCAATTTAGCGCTGCCACAAATGATTATTTTACTGGCCGCGATTAGTCAACTAATCAGATCATACGCAAATCGCAGTTCATCGCCCCAGCAAGCAGCTGCTCTTCTAAAAACCATCATCAGCTTACGGCTTGAATTCTTTAATCGTAAAGACAATTAAAATGACGGCACATTCAACTTTGGTTTATCGTTGCAGCCTGTAGCGGCATTCATGACGTGTTGAGAGATGATGGAGCAACTTAAATTGAAGGCGATAGTGTAGCCAAAACATTTTTAGCTGTAAAAATAGAACTGTACAGGATGCATAGTTGCACTATGAACACAATGAAACTATCTGTACGATGTTTTTCGAAGCAGAGGGACAAGTAAACCCCACCATTAGTGAGGAAATCGTACCATATCTGCAATTGGCGTGTTGTCACATATCCCAATTATTGACCTCCTTTTTTTGGTTGGTTTTCAACCTGTTTGAGCAATTTGACCCATGATGTTGAAAGCATCCGGAACAATCGGTGTTAACAGGCAAACCACACCATGGGATGATTCGTAATATTTGACAGCTCTGGTTGTTGTTGTTTTTTTCTTTTTGGGGCACAAAGAAGACAAATCTCTCCTGTTTTCTCATCGACCTCTGCGTGCACCCATCGTCAAGCCCCACTTTGAACCTTAGTCACCCCCATGCGGACTGTTCAATTGACTGCCCCGTTATTAGATGAGGGATTTCGGCTTTCTGCGTTGAGTTGGCCAGTCCCCTTTAATATGTCCCAAATGATATCATCCAACATCACCGTCAATAAGAGCTGACGCGTGGCATTGTATTGTGTCGGGAGAGCACTCCAAAGGCTGCGAAAGATAAAGACAGCTCACACACTGTCATTCTCCGCAAAGGAAGTGCAGGCGTCATGCACCGTAACAGACATGAGAGGAACTGTTTTGCAGAAAGTAACAACATGAGGTGAGAATAAGATGTCTCAGCACCAAATCGAAGTAAATATGAGTCCTTTCCCTTGGTGCTTTCTTCAAACACGCAAATAATTCTTTGCTGTCGATGAGATAGCAACTCTGAAATGGAGAAAACATAGACTTCTGAAAGGAACAACTTAGATTTTTCAATTTAAAAAAAAAAAAAAAAAAAAGGGCCGTGTTTACACAGGTCCTCGATTTGTCTTTATTGAAGGAAGGCTGCACTGTTGTTCCAAGACTGATGTCCAGTCTTTCCAGGACTTTGTTGTGTCAATATCACGCATCAGATTGTTGGGCAGTTTTATAAGATAAGACACGAGCGTGCTGATGCAAACAAACACATGCACGTCATTGTTTATTTGGCAAGGCATGATGCTTGCTCACAGACGGAGGAGCTTGATATCTTGGAAAATTTGATGTGGGACTTGTTGCAAACAGTGCACTTTGTGTGCGTGTGTGTGTATCTCTCTCTCTCTCTCTCTATCTATCTATCAAAAGAAAAAAAAGGACCATGAGAATATCTGAATTTAATTTGGGATTAATCTCCAGGTGTCAAACAAGTTTCCCGGCCCTCGAGGATCAGAGTTTGAGGCCCTTTAATGCGGTCTCATTAATGGTGGGAATGTTTTTTTTTCATGATTTGTTCTGGTGTTGGTGTATATAATGTATTAATTATTCCATCCATCCATTTTCTAATCCGCTTATCTTCACGAGGGTCGCAGGCTTGCTCCGGCAGTAGGCGCGGTACACCCTCAACTGGTTGCCAGCCAATCGCAGGGCACACGTAGACGAACAACCATTCGCGCTCACAATCACACCAAGGGACAATTTCGAGTTTTCCTGGCTCACTTGCTTCGATTGTGTTGATGCAACGAACGTTTCCCGAGCCCCGTTTGGACTGACCTGTTTGATGGCGCACAGCAGCTTTCCATAGCAGAACACGATCACCAACAATGGCACAATGAGGCAGAAGATAAATAGACACACGATGTAAGATATGTTATTCGCCGTCTTGGCTTTCCAGTTGACGGAGCAGGTGGTCCCTGGTCCTTCTGGACCGTAGTGACTCCAACCAATAAGCGGCGGCAGGGTCCAGATGAGGGAATAGACCCACGAAAGGATGATGCCCAGGCAGACCTTGCAGTAGTTGGATGAGTCGGCCTCAGTGGGTGTCATCATGGTGCTGTAGCGCTCGTAGGAGAGGACAGCCAGAGAGATGAGGGACACAATGCCTGCGGTGAGATCATAAATATTTAGATGCATCAAAAAGGCCACGATTAGTAAACAGTAAAACACCTTTAACAAAACACCACTTTAAAAAGTTCTAACAACTTAACAATGCATGAATGTAAAAAACTAAACAAAAAAAACAAAACAAAAAAAAACCTGCTTTTTTAATAGCAGGCACTGAAAATATGTTATTCACTACTTCAATGGTAGCGTTTGTATGACCTGACAGTAAAATATGATTAAAATGAGCTTTTGAAAAATCAACCCTCTCGCGCCCAATCTTGGACATTTGTAATTATTATTTCTAAACTCATGGTGCGACCAAAATGGCCAATCGGAGATTGTACAGACAGAAGGCATGACCTTTTTTCGTGGATGAATTACTGAACTCTGGTCTGTTGTCCTTGTTTTATGAATTCAGTTTTCATTCATTATGCACGATAGTATACAATTCCCAAACAACTGTTCGACCTTCCTCCTTATGCATGGCCATACATTAACACTAAAATATAGACATTTATACCTATGTCTGATATTGACAACGCTGAAAATGAAGGGCAGACTACTTTCTGTCACCAAATTATCACCTGCGTCAGGGGCGAGGCTGCTTCATGCGCCTGCACGGCCACATGAGCACAACATGGCCCCAAACACACTCGACTAGATTTGCGCTGGCACAAAAATGAAGAAATTAAGTTTCCCGCCAAGAAGAGCACGAGCGCCAGTCTACCAAAATGTTTTTATTTCTGTGATTCTTTGAATCGTGTTTGTATCTTAACATAACACGTTTGCCGTTCCGGTAACACTGCCTGCAGTCCCAATAATCATTGTAGCGTGTGGTTTTCTGATCTATAATCTTATTAGCCAAAGTGATTCCCTGTAATTATCAGGCAGCAATGATGCGTGCAATTGGTTAAACAGAATAGAGAATGGCCCATTGAATGATCAATATCGAGAAAATGGGCACCTTTCTTCCATTGATTCGGGAAAGAGTAGCCACAGCGGATGCGCAGTGGGCTGATCAGTGCACTGAAGACCCTCTCTTTTATCAAATCGTGCTCCTGATTCAACCGGACAGCTTTAGCAAAACCCGTTTTCACATCGGCAGGAAGGTTAGCGCGGTTAGCACTTATCAGGCTTCTGCAAAGCTTGCTGATGAGCTGATCGTTTGACTCAGGTGTGTTGGAGGAGGGGATCATGTAAAACAGGCTGAATAGGGGCTCTCGAGGACTGGACTTGGCTACCGGCCGCACTTTGGCAACCCGCTGTGAGCACATCTGCCACAGTGTTCAGGTTTCTGTGTCCATGCCAGTGCTGGAGTGACAGTATAGTGCCAGTGTGAAGTTCTTGTGCCTCAGCCTTTTTTTTTTTTTTTTTTTTTGGTCACAAATTACACTGTAAAATTAATAAATAAACACCAAAACGTTTCAAAGCAAAAATAATTGATAACATTTTAAGTTTAGCAATTCAACAAAATAATTTGAGTTTTAGTGGCGGAATGTTGGTTGACTAGTTAGCACGTCCGCCTCGCAGTGCTGAAGTGCGGGCTTCGATTCCGGCTGCGGCACTTCCTATGTGGAGTTTGCACGTTTGACCTTTATGACGCTGCATGTTGTTCTTTGTTCTCCATGCCATGACCACTTTGCACCATCATGACAAAGTAACCTCGACTCCAGCCAGGTGCTTTGTCTACCAGACGCCCATTTTCAGATGCATTTGCTCTCTTCCGGATGAGTGCATGTTCATCCATCTTTGTGCTCACATTATAGATGTCTGTGTGCGTGTGTGTGCGCGCGTGCTTGCACATAGGCGATCTAACTTCAGTATGCAGCAAGTGGGCTCAGCACTGCAAGGTTAATCCAGTGACTGTGCAGAGTCCACTTGAGGCAGGAGCAGGACTCCAACAGGATGCACAGACATGCAGCATTGATGAAATTCAGAAAGGGGGGTGGGAGGGAACCTTTGGACAGCCACATCGTCAGAGGTGGCCAGCAGAGGTGAGTGGGTCAAATGTAGTACACAGCGTATGACACGGGAAAATACACGCGCCCAAAAATTTTTGCACCCGATAAAATAAAAGCAAAGGAAGTTCAATCCAAAACTGAAATGAATGACAGGGCTTCTGTGAGCGCAATGCAGCCGATCACGAGCGAATCGTCTTGAGACAAGAAAAAACCTTATCAAGATGGCAACCCGGTCGTTGGCAGCACTGGCCTTTAAATCTATTTCGACTGTCATTCATCATCTCTAAAGCTGCATTGAAATGTGTCGCGAAAGCGTCACTTTTATCAAAACTGAAGCCAGCGCGTTCTATCCAATCCAGTCTTGGACACTTTCTCACCGTTTCCTTGGTTTTTATGAGCCCATTAGGAGCGAACTCAGCCATTCCAAATGCAGATGCTAATGATGTCTGAGTTAAAGACAGACTTTCAATGTGTCACCCCTTCGGCTCGCGGAAGCCGAACTCGTGTCAGATCAGATTAAAATTGGCTCCTATGGATATTAGCGGAACACATCTTCAGATCTTAATCTCACTTGAGTTAGAGAGGTTGAGGCGACAGTTCAAGCTCAGACGGGGGTATCGGGTGGCCCACTTTGTTATCGGCGCTGCAGTTGAAATCAAGTCATCCTGTTTTGGAAATTGCCAAATTATCCCCACAGAAATGAAAGTGTGAGAGTCGGTTTTCATCTTAAATTGGATGGATTCAAGCGAGGCTCATGAGTGAAGGAAAATATTCAAGTTGAGCACAAAAACGTGAACGTTTCAGCATTTGACATGAAAAGGAACAGGGTGGCCAATGTCAAAAATAGAGGCTCACTGGGCGAATTGTTCTCTGGTTTCTCAAACACAATTTTGGATGTGCACATGTCCACTTAGCTGGTGTGCCACCAAAAAGAAGAGCAAATGTCTTCTTTCAACAGTTTTGCCAATGTTGGAAAGACGATTCCAGATTGTGTTTCAACGCAACAAATAGTTGAAGCAACATTTTTCAAAATCATCTTTTTGAAACCCATAATATGCTTTCCAGCCAAAGATTTATGAGCCCTGCCACAAAAGTTTCAGTGGAGGAAAGATATTACGGGCGACTGCGGCTCATTTAGTATGCACTTGTAAAAAGGAATGTCGAGCTAAGACTTTCTGAAAACGTATACATTTTTTATTCAATGTTACTTTCTGATCCGATTAAACGTCATTTCTAAAGGCGACAAGCTTTCATTGTGAAGACGGACGAGCTCGAGGAAACGTTGCAAAGCAGCTGAACATAAAATTCGCTGGATTGATGGTTGTGTCCTGAGGTGCGCAAACAAGTAATGAGAACAAGATCAATGACAAAAACATATAAAGAAGGACAGCGCTGACGTATTTGGATTCTATATTGCGGTTTTAACAACTGTGGGGATGGCTCGTTGGAATGAAACAGATTTAAAGCCAGACAGGCACTTTCAGATACCTATTTAGAAAAGTATTGATTATGCTTTGGTCACTCACTCATTCATGATGTGAAGAAATTAGAGGACGATATTAGTTATTCCCTCCCAGGTCATTGCAAAAATTATTTACCAAATATTTTGTCACAATAGATGAAATTTTAAGTTGTTAAAAACATACATTAAGGTTATATTTTCATACGTGGCCCAAGCCCTGTGCAATGTGTAGTCTAATGGTGCGGGTCGAGTTTTCTTTCTTTTTGTATTTTTGTCATCAAGTGCTGGTAGAAAGGGGCTTTTCCGCTGTTGTGGGAGTGAACACAATCCAAGCAGCTCCCCTCATTCCTTTAAAATTCAGCGGCCACAGTATTGAACATTGAGGAAGCAGAAACGGAATCGCTGAGATCCATGAAGAAGATCCAAGAGTGACAAATAAGTTTATGAAAGCCTGCAAGGAGACCTCCAGGGGCCCGTGGGCAATTACAGATCACCGCTGTGAAGCGGCCACTCGGAGACGGCTTTCCACCACAATCGTTCTTGGCTGTGTGTGATGACCCAGTTACTTCTACAAAATAATATCTGTGACAATGCTAGATATTCTATTTGAGGCTTATCGTATTTTTTCAGCCCAAGACCCAAATTAGAAATGATATTGATTCATTAGTCGGGTAATGAAGGAACACACATACAATTTAAATAAGCACACGTGCAAATTCATGCCTTTTTCGTTGTGTCATAAAATAGCCTGAATACATCTCTCTATGGTTATGTTGATCACGGCTGCACATGATTAGCTTCATGAAGGTACCATTTTTGATACAGCTCTTGACTTGGCGTTCCAACTGTTGTGAGTATCAATTTTAGTCTGTATGCAGATGAGCGGTTTTCTGATGAAATGACGAGTCTATGAATTTCTGCAGCCCCCAGAGTTTATACAGACGCAGACATTGAACGGGCCGCTTGCCATCACCAAGCTCGCTCTCTATGATCCCATCAAATGTACACTAGGGTCCCATTTCTTATTCCAAACTGTCCGTATTCCGCGTGTGCCTCCGCCCGCTCATAACCCAAAGAGCCTGCTTGCACCGCAGCTAAATGAGGGGCAATGGAGCGTCTCTTGCCTCAGGCGCACTCACTAACAATATCTAGTACACAACAATAAAATAAAATAAAATATTTAACGACCAATTGCACCCTGTCCTATCCTGTGCGTGCGTGTGCGGTCTAGAAGCACCCAAATACGCCACTGCCACAATAACGTCCACACAGTCCGTCACGACAAAACAAAGGACGCGCGTGTAGGGTCGCGTTCATGAGCGCACTTACATGTCACCTCTCACGATCGCATTCGTGCACTGTGGCACTCTGCAGCCCCTCACGCAGACTGCGAGACGCGGAAGGACAGGGCAGGGACGTCTTCAAAAGTAGCCCTCCAATAGGAACAACGCTCATTTAACCCAGCGGACGTCATTAATTGCTGCATTCGGGGATGTGATGCGCGACTGCAGTCTCGTGCGGATCGGGGATGGCTTCCACCGCGAAATAGAATGACGACAGCTCCAATGAACAAGGAGCGCAGTGCAAACTTGGCAGTCGGCGGTTTGTCGTAGAAAACGTCAACCTACCTGCCCTCTATTCGCGCACGCTGAGCGAAAATTTTCCAGGCTCGAATCGAACTTGTGCGAAACACAACATTCGTGCCGGCAAGAATGTATGCGCTCATTCATTCGTTTCAATGCGGAAAGATTGAATTCGGACGTGTCGCGCGTGGGGCGCGCGCCGGAGTGCACGACTGCGGCCCCGGTCGCTCGCGAAACGGCCAGCAAAGAAATCCACGAACGTCGTGCAAACGGGGAGCGTAACTTACCAAAGAGCGAGTAGGACGTGTCGCCTGCGTGGGAATCCGGCGCGCGCCCGAGTGCACGACTGCGGCCCCGGTCGAAATCCACGAACGTAGTGCAAACGGGGAGCGTAACTTACCAAAGAGCGAGTTGGCGAAGCCGTACCACACGCAGCCCTTGGCTCCAATGAGCCACCTTCCCTGCGTGCTGGCCGCGAAGCTGAACGGCGTCCCCAACAGGCACACCAGCAAGTCGCTGACGGAAATGTTAATCAGCAGCAAGTTAATGGGCGAGCGCAGGATCTTGTAGCGGCAGTAGAGCACCAGCACCAGCAAGTTGTTCACGAGTCCAAAAGTGCCGATGAAGCCCAAGCACACGGCGACGACGAGATTCCCCGTCGGAGTGAGGGTGGAGCGCCGAGAGCCGCCCCCAAGGTCCGGGTGCCCTTCCCCGGCTCCGGCGTGCAGGGCGCTGTTGAAGCCCGAGCAGATGCTCACGTTGGACAAAAGCATCGCGGAGGCGGGCGCGCTGGGTGGCCACCGATACTAACAGTCCACCACACTTACGCCGCAGTTGTTGGGCTTTCTCTTCATTGTACAAGAAGGGAATGTATGGGGATAATTGGGGGGGGGGGCAAAAGAAAAAAAAAGTTCGATCAGGCTTTGCTCCACCGTGTGGCAGTCTGCATGCACACTCACGCTCTCTCTTTCTACAGATGCTTCAGTCTCTCCCACAGACAGCTTCCTTCCCTCTCTGGCCGTGTTTAAATCACTCTTGGCCGAGCGAAGGTTGCTGACGTAGAGGCCGAGAGGGGGGGAGCAGGGCGCGCAGGTGCCGTGGGAATCAGAGCATCATCATCATCATCATCATCATTTTGTAGACTCAATAGAGAACTGCACACGCTGAACCCAATGTTCTTCACGAACAGTTGGGTGCAGGAAGAGGTAGCAAAAGTATTGTCATTATTTGTGCAGCAAAAAAACAACAACAAACAAACAAGACTCTTAATTGATTGAGTAAAAGTAAATAAAAATGAAAATAGAAATAAAAAGGTCTACACTGAAACGCGCTCAAAAGAAAATGTGAAAACATTATATCCAACATACAGAAACTGCACACAACACAACAGTCGGCTCTCCATCCTGTGCTACCTTGCACAGTGCTCCTACTGAGGAGAAAAATAAATCACTGTAAGAATAAACGATCAAAACCTGCTCCCTAGGCGGTCCTGGCTTGAATGGCGACCGGTGCGAAACCTCCTTGGCTGGCCCCCTAACACACACACAAACACAAATAGAAAAAAACACACACAAAAAAAACGCCTGAGCCGATATATTCTCATTTTTTCTTTCAAATACATTGGACTATGAATCAGTTAGAACACAGCAACAGCCTACGCCTATGCTGCAAGACAACCATATCCGGGAATATTTTTTTCTTTCCACCAATGCCCCCCCCCATGGCTGTGCATATCACAAATGCCAAAGTTGCTAAACTTGAGAACCAACATTTTTTTTTTTTTTTTATATGGGGTTTACACAATTTCCCAACTTCATTGGAATTGGAGTTTGTACTTTATTATTTCCCACCACTGATCACGCTTCATTTTGTGAGTGCAAGACCAAACTCCACCAATACCCAATTCGCTTGACGAACAAGAGCCCCAGAGTCTCGCTTGTCTCCAATACCCCCTGCAAGGACAGAGAAAACACATGGAATTATCGTGACCTGGATGACTGAAAGCGTTGGCTGTCCCGTAAGATGAAGACACTCAAAATCTTTTGGGACCCGACTCACCCTGAGATATCGCTGAACCTCATGCAAATTGACAAACTCATGTGTAAGCAAATTAAAAGAGTCACTCCACATATTGTGTGTGATTGGTTTTGCATGACAATTGGCAAGCAAGCTGTTTTCTTTCCATCCATAAAAAAGTCGAAATTCTCTTCATTCTTTTTGTAATTAAAAAAAAGGCAAAAAGGAAATTGGAAAAAATCCATTCATAGGTCAAACTGTTATCATTTTAAACTGTTATCATTTTACCATAAAACATTTTTTGTTAACTGCAGTAGTCGAGGCCAGCCAGCCCATTTTTTAATTTGTTCTCTTCATTTCATCGCATTTCTTTTGGCAGCCTGAATTTCCAGTGCATGTACGCTGAAAAAATTGTTGTTGAATTTACTTCATAAAGTGGTTGCAGGAAATATAATCACTACACATTTACTTAAAAAAATGGATCCTGATGATTTTTTTTTTTTTTGGGTGTAACCATGTAATCATATGAAATTGAGTAAATTTAACCATACCATTTTTTAAAAATCTCGGTGTATGAAGAAGTCCATTTTTTTATTTTTATTTATTTCCAATCAGGTTTCAGTCCCCTCTAGGCTGTATATTGGTGCCCAGTGCAAGTCTGGCAGGAAGCACAGTCGATTGTCCCTGGTGAGAATGATGTACAATATTTGATTTGCATTTTTATGATTTAGTCCTGTTATGCGATAAATATTGATTCTGAACTGCTCCAGATGATGTAACTTGGCACCGTTGCATGCTCTTATATTGTATTTTTGGACAGTATTATTAATTTCTAAAATGTGGTGGTATTAAGAGATGGATTAAGTCCACTAAATCCACACGGCCTACCATTGTTTGTCTTAAGCATTTTCAATCGGTTAAAAAAAAGGTGTTCAACAATGTGAATACAAAACTATGAATACACAACAACAACAAATACAACTTTCGTTTTGATACCACGTGAAAAGCATGAGTCATTCGGTTTACGCAAGCAGCTAATTTTACCAGCCAACTCTATCGCCACCAAAACATGATTCGTACTGATCCAAGTCATCTCTTGTCTCAGTGTGGCGTCATCTTCGGCTGACATGGCGCTTATACACTCAGTCCCACAGTGACTCAAACTCAACAATTCACCTCCCACTGACAGCATTCACACACGGTTTCATTTTTGGAGAAATAGAATTTTTCAGGCCATTCATGGCATCTGCGCCATGAAGGTTTCCTTCTGTGCGTATAATGAAGAGTGGTGAAGGACTGGCGTCTATTTGACACGCGGGCAAAAATGTTATAGAGACACACATGCGGACAAAGAGCGGCACTCGGGCTGGAAATCACGACGGCATTTTCTTTGAAGGAGAAAATAAACTCCGTCAGGAACATGAAGAGAAGCAGAATGAACAGAGGAGACACCGATTGGTAGAATGGGCACAGGAGAAGCAAGGCAAGATGACAAGACTAGACAAATGCGAAACAAACCATCAAAATCGAATAGAGGTTAAATCAGGGGACAACCTACAAAAATAGCGATCCATCCATGTTTGATACGATCCATCGCTTCTCCCTCAATAGGGTCTAAGGCACCTGTGTCAAACTCAAGGCCCGGGGGCCATATCCGGCCCGCCACGCCGTTTTACGTGGCCCGCGAAAGCAAATCACGCGTGTCAACTTCAATGGTCCTTGGTAAAATCTGTACCGAAATCTCAAATTGTCATGTGCTATAACGTTGAGATTTTGCAAAAAAATTGTAACCCTGTTTACACTCACTTGAACAATAATTGAACAAACAACCATTTGAACGAACTAATAATCCATCGATTTGTTGTGTACAAGTAATAAAACCATTTGATGAAATATACGATACGAAACATTTATCCGGTTTCACTGTCGTAACGGCCCTGGGAGAGGCTGGGAAAGGCTCCAGCACGCCCCCGCGACCCTTGTGAGGATAAAAGCTGATCGGAAAATGGATGGATGGATATTTTCTTTTGGATGCTTGGCCACGTGGCACTTTGACACAACGCGCTAGATTTTGCCAACTCTGTCAAAGTGGGCAGGATGGGGTGACCTTCGTCACATTCGAGCACATTTGCACATTCGGGAGAGCGAACAGATGCACTCCTTTAAACGTTTTTTTTTTTTTTTTTTTTTTTTAACAATACGTAAGAACAGATTTAAGTAAACAGCATCGGATAAAGAAGAAATGCCCGTGACAAAACATTTGGACATCTGCGGTTGACCGTAATTCGCCTTTAAAGGGGCCTGACGGAGCCTTTGGTGTTACTGTAAATCCGAAGGTGCCAGGTGGATTCCTGTTTCGCTACCTTTCTCTCCTTACAACCCCTCCCGCCATCTTTGTGTACATGTGTCTTCCCCCGAGGGGGAATCATCTTGTGCACTCAGAGTGCATGGAAACAAGGACGGGCCGAACCTAAAGGGCAAAAGTCGGCCAAATGTTGTCCATACAACATGGCCGTACGTAACCTGAGAGCTCCCCCGTTCTTCAAATCACCCGCAGATCCGATGCAGCCCCTTAGCAGCTGCTTGTGCAATTCATTTGTCATCTTAATCCAAATAAAGGCATTTCAATGAGCGCTAATTTCTTCCCCACATAACGCTTTGGAATATCAGCTCATCTTCATTCAAATGACAAACGAGACTAATTATCCAAAGTTATGTCCTCCTCACTTGCTTTGAGTACAGTTAAAAAATTCTCAGACAGAAAATAAGATGAGCCGAGGTAGAAGTAAAACTCACACTGGGCAAAGGAATTGTATTCTTTTGTCCGGAGACGTTGGTGCTTTTGGTTTTCTGGATTGCTGTTGAGGGATTTTAACATGATTGCATGATATCAGCATGCACTGAAAAATATAATATAGGCAGACGGTGATCTCCGCTGAGAAACAAAATCACATTGCGAGGGTTACACCTGGTGAAAAATGTCCAAAGCAGACTTAAATTAGAACTAAGTAAAGTTATATATATTATTTTCCCTAAATCAGCAGGTGCTTCGGTTTGAACCTTATTGGGACGGCACTGTGTTCCCTGCAACGACCAAATTGCGCACGTCTTTATTTTTATTTGACACGATCATGTCATGTGGTGTGCATTTGATGTCTTTGACGACACTGGGCTTTTTGTTGAGTCAACCTTTATTAGGTGCAGTCATTCATTATTGTGTTGACAATGAAGTGGTGGAGCACAGACTTTTTCTTTTTTTTTTTTTTAAAGCTGAAGACCCATGCCCCTCATCGCACCACCGGTTCATGTGTTTGCTTCTCGCTGCAGTGCTTTCTATGAGGAGTTGCCGCCATGTTGATTTGCCCAAGTGTGTGAAACGCAAAGGGCCGCTTATCCTCAGCATTTCAACAAAGTGAACTTAAAATGTGCAAAGAACACTCCATAAGAAATGCAAAACAATTAATTCAACGATGTCAAACTAACGCAAGAGCCCCAAAAGAAAACAGACAACTTCAGCTGTTGTTTACAGCAGCACTCATCTCTTGGGTTGGACGCTTTTGGGTTCATTGTCTTCCTGATTTTGAATGAAAAGCATGACTGCTTTTTAATGAAGACAAAACAAATATCTAATTAAGTCGTGAATCTCCCCTACTGCGGGATCAACCGATTCTTCTTCTTGCGCATCATTTTTTTATTGTCATGAAAGCAGCATCCTGATAAAACAATTGTGAAGAGCGTCCAACCTGGTTCCGACGTCCCTCCAGGGACAGAATGAATCTGTCCGTTCTGACCGTAGTTCGTTG